GGTTGGATGGGGCTCTGAGCAACTTGATCTATTTGAAGATGTTCCTGCTCACTCCAGGGTGGTGGGACTAGATGCCCTTTGAAGGTCCCGTCCAACCCAAACCATTCTATGATTCTGTGACTCTATGTGAAGCTAAAATGCTGTTTAAGCATCACAATAGCTTTCCTTGCTTCACTGTCAGAGGCCTGAGCCACCTGCTTATTTTTCTGACTTGGAATTGGTGGGTGTCTTTACTAATCAATTTCACGTCTCCAACTTTGTCTCACCCCTGCTTCTTTAATAGTTCTTTGAGCTGCTGCAGATACATAAAGCCCCAAATTGCCACCCCTGTCCTTTCTACCTGCTTTGGAGTCTGAGCTCTGAAGACACTTAGGACTTTCAGGGGATAAAGTGCAGAGTGATGTGGCTGGTTTGGAAACACCACCCATTTGTGGTCCAGGAGCCCAAGTCTCGTGTGGTCCCTCTTCTCCAGATAGAAAAAGACCAATGCTTGGGAGCAGTGGCTATCAGTGCCCATGGTCTTCTTCCTCTTCCCTTTGCAATTAGAGCCTCATAAGTATTTAAACCCATGTGCAAAGTGATTGCTGTCCCTCCTGCCTACTCAGCCTGAAAAAGTGGAAATGCCATGGGCTGCTCTGGTCAGGTTACCCTTCTGTGTGTCAGTACTCAAAAGGAGAATAATAGCTGACAGTATTTAAATGAGGTGTTTTAAGGAAATTGCCTTCTTTATGAAACTTTCAGGCAGGAGTTTTTTCCTATTTTATTTCTGTGATAGCATGTAGATAAAAAACAGTTGGGCACGAAGACGGAGGTAAATCCTGTAGCTCTGGTAGCAGTTCCCCCAGCCCTGTATGAACAGGAGGCTGTAATGCTTGATGATGCCACCCTTGGCACAATCATGGGCAGACACGTGTCTTCAGCATAATAAAGTTTGAAAGGAGGGATCTTTGAACTTGTTTAGCTTCTGTGCTTGGAAGGAATTCAGTCACGTACATTAGGATTACTTAATGTTTGGTACTTGGGATTGCAACATTGCTGGTGTCTGAGGATGGCTGGCCTAATGTGGTCCCGTCCAACTCCTTTGTTGATATCCCCTTTGTTGATATCCCCGTTGTACAAAGCCAGGCTGCAAATTCATCCTGTACCCCCTGCTGCCAAAACAAGGCTCCTGCCATGACTGTCCCTCCAGTGATGATGCAGAGGGACCGGGGATTTATTCTGAACATTTAAGAGCAAAATAATCAGGCTAAGTAAAATGATTCCTGAGCTATTAGCCCTGGTTATGACACCTGCTTTGGTGGTTTTGGAGCAGTAAGTTTGGACAGGAATGTGTACTGAAAAGTGTCTTTGAATTAAATTAGTGAACACAGTATTGCACAGATGACACCACCCTTCCCCATGCCCCTTTTGCTTCCTTGAGCCTGGTTTGATGCCTTTCCTACTAGCTGGCAAAGGTAAACATGGCATCAGTTTTAAAGCACTTGCCATCTGCAAAGAGGCCTTAAACCCTTTTTTTTTTTTTTAAGTTAAGAGCATGATTGTTTTAAAACTTCATCCTCTGAGTGGAGATTTTAGCTGATACCTGGGTGCAGTGTGGGATGTGTCTGCTGGATGGAGGGGGCTTGCCCCAGAGAGAACTTGGGATCTCTTAGCAGTCTGAGTTGGCCAAGCAGAGTGAAAAATAAGTTGTTTTTCTCCAAGTTGGCAACTTTACACTACTGCTTGCAGTTATAAATGAACTTTGTCTTTTGAAGACTTCTGTGTGACAAGTGCTTTGAAATGTGAATAAAAGAATGTTTGTAGGGTTATCTATTTAGGAGAGTTATGCAGTTCCATTATCTTCAAGCTGCCCTGTCATGTAAGGGATGGGGAGCACAAAGCACTTATTTAGAGATTATAAAATTTGTGCTGAACATGGGTGGTACAAAACCACTTCCCCAGCATCTTTCTCTTTGGAAAATAAGATGCTTTTTACAGCCCTGTCAGATAGCAGGGCTTTGTTTGCCAGCTCTTGTGAACAAATAATGTGTTGTTGTGCTGCCTTATCACAAGGATGTTTCTTGGTAGGAATGTTTCAGGTATTCCCAATGCAGAGAAGGAAAACTCAGAGCTTGGAAATGCTTGGTCTGGAAACATTATGTGGCTTCAAGATCTGGTATCTTTCCAAAAGTGAGAACTTGGTACACGTTGGGCTTTTGTTCAGCAGACTTTATTGCAGTCGTGTAATCTGCTGGTCAGCACTTCCTAGTGCTGGTTCTTTAGGAAACGTGGAGCAACAACTTTGAACTACTGTGAAAACAGGATTGTTTTTTAAAGTTATAAAAGGCATCCATCTTGTTCTTCTTGGCACAGTTTTTTTGGTCATTTGTAGTCAGTGCCCCGAGTCCCTGAAAATCTGAAACTATCCCGTGTAAACAGGTTTCTTCCACAAACACTACCTGTGGCTTTGTTCCCTGAGCTGCTTCTTACTGGAAAGCTGCAGGGGACCTGGCTTCTTCCTTTCGTCCCCTACTGGCAAAACATAGAAAAACCTCTTGCACTTACAGCATCTATTGCAGAATTAGGTACAACATTAAGGTGTTACTTCTGTCTTCACAGAATTGGTTGAAAAAAAAAAAAGCCATTTGAGTTAGGTGCAGTTGCATATAAATATTTTCAGCCTCCAAATATTGCAGCAACATTAATTTTCCCTCTCTGCCATACACAACTCCTCACTGTGTAGAATGACAGATTACATAGAGGGCTGTAATTACAAAAATATGAAGTGCTATTTCTAAAATGTCACAGTTGCTTGAAACTTTGTCAAACTGTTTTATTTTTGCTTGTTCTTTGTGATCAAAACCTAAAAGGGGCAAGGCTTACTGGAAAATGTGGAGAAAAAGGGTGAATCAGAGTGACTACTAGGGAATTAACTGTCTTGACTCTTCTGACTATTCAAGTATTTCTGATGCCTTGTAAATTTGTATTACAAATTACTGGCAATGGGGTCAATTTTGTTCCTACCCACCATGCCTCAGTTTATGAGGTTAAATATGAATGAAGTATTTCTCTAAGCTTAAAATCCCCAGCCTAATTCTTTACCAAAAATACATCCAACTGCATGGCTCTCAAGGATTCCTAAAATCTGGAGATGTTTGCATGTTCATGGACTCCAGTGTTTTTTCAGCATGAATTCTCTTAATCTGTGTGTACCACTCCACAACTTCTTGTAGCATCCAGCCATCTTGCAAGATTTCCCACTTGAGCATCTTTTCCCAGGGAAAAGCACATTGAGTTAACCCCTGGGGCAGAGTAAAAAGGCTTCTGTTTCCACTTCCATCTCCTGAATAATCCTGTGGGTTTCACAGCTCTGCTTGTGCACCAGGTCATTTGTGTAGAGATTATTGATTGGCTTAAATCCAATTTAAGTCAGGAGGTGGGAAATCAAGGTTTAAAGAATTGACTTAAATTTTGTTCAGTAGTTTTATTTTTGTCTTCAGGAAAATTGTTAACAATCAAAATGTTTGCCATTATGCTTAGTCAATAATTCCTAAATGTGTTTCAGCCTTTTGACCTGGGTTATGGGTACACTTACTCATATGTCTCACTTTATACAGTTCTTAAATTTTGTTAAAAAGTAAATAATTTATTTGTTTTATAGTTGGGTAGTTAGTAAATTTCCAGTCTTGTCCAAAGATGTCTGAAACAAACATGACATGCATTTCTCCAGCAGGCCAGGGGATATGTAATAAACACTCTTTGACTCTTTTATTTGTCATCTTGCAGTTAACAGTTTCAGTATCTCTTTTGAGAGCTGTTTATGGTCGTTGATTAGAGCCTTGCAGGGAACAGCCCTCTGCCTCTGGCACCTTATCTCCATCCAAAGAATGAAAACATGCAGTTCCTCTTTTCAACTCCCTGTTTGGAGTGATGTGGGTGCTGAGCTGAGCTGATTTTTGGTCCCAGCGTAGAAGGCACACAGCACCTGCCACACAACCTGCTGCTTTGTCTGCCTCAGCAGTCACCTCTGCTGGGCTTTGGCCATATCTCTGTTCCCAGTTGTCATGGAAGAGACTTAACTGAAAAGCAAAATTACTGGAAAGAATATTGGTTTTATCCTGACTCAAACCAGGACACCAGTTAAGCCTCCTACATTTTTAGGCTGGGTATCATGATGCTGGTCCTTTCCTAGAGCAGGATACAGCAATCTTGTTACTTTTGTAGTTTTGAAAATATAGCATTATTGCATGCACCTTGTTAGTGTCCACTTAAAGGAATATCTGTTTTACTTGGTACCATTTATTTGTTTGCTGGGATCAAGGAAGGTGTGTCTGTCCCAAAGAATGGAGCACAATGATTTGGGAGTAAAATGGTGCTGCCAGTCAGTCTCTGTTCAGTTCTCTTACAATAGAGATGTGGGCATTGGAGAGGGAGCCTGCATTATTCAAAGAAGCAAACAAACAATGACAACAAAAAACAAAAGAAAGTGCCAATCAAAAACAAACCCAAAAACCAAACAAAAAAGCCCAAACAACCAATCGAGAAAAAAACCCAAACAACCCATAACAAAAAAAACAAAACAAAAAATTAAACAAAATTTAAAAATAGGAAAAAATTACAAAAATAAGAACAAAAAAATCTGAGATGAGTGTTCAAGGTAATTCTGGAGGTGATTGAGCAGATCTGCCTGTCTTCTTTCACCTGTGAAATGCCAGTTTCTGTCTCTACTGGCCCCTGCCCAGTTTCCTTCAGCACTCCTGTTTAGAAGCTACGGAACTTCTGTTTGATGTTGCAGCCTTAACATTTCTTTAATCTCATATTGTGCAGGAGTCTGTCTATAAATAATCCAGAGAGACGTTTTACAAGAGATTCATAACCTTCTTGCAAAGGTCTTTTAAAATATAACCTGTGACAGTGGGACATTAGCAGGGGGGTTGGGTGGAGCAGGTTCTTTATTTGTTCCTGTATTTAATCTTTGATGGAAGCTGAGAACAGTTCTTTTTTTCCCCATCTTTGCAGATACCAGCTACTGAACATGTCAACAGAGTTCCAGGATGCTCACCTTGCAGAGGTGAAACCTCTGGTGGAAAAGGAGGAGGTAATGATTTTAGAGCTCTTCAGTGCTTGTGTTTTATTGCAGGGCTGCTGTTGGAACTGCACTTGTGTTCTTAGATTAATTCTAATGTATTGTATAGAAGAAACAAGTAAGAGTAACTGGAGATGGAATAAGAGGCTGGTTGTTTTAATAATGCAAAATTGAACTTTAATTATTTTCTCTTTCTTGATCTTTGGTTTTACTTCTTTAGTGCTAATCTGGTGGTGGCATTTATTGTTCTCTAAATAATGACAGCTCTGGGTGTCTTCAGCAATTCTGAACTATGTCAACCAGGCAATCTCATATAGATCCATCTATACCTATAGACTTCTCAAGGTAGAGATACAAGCTTCACTCCATTAGCTACCTTACAGGGAGTCACAGAGTCTTTACTCTTCTGGGCACATCTTAGTCCAGAGGTACAACTATGCCCCATCAAGTCCTCTCTGACTGCACTGAGATGTGAGTTACAGACAAGCTGCTGCCAGGGCTGCAGGCAGCTCAGCATGCACAAGCTGCAGCCATTCCTCTGGGGTTGCATAATAGAAACAACTTCAGCTTTTTTTTTTGCTTAACCCTGTGGTACTTCTTTCCATTTGTTTTTGCACCATTTTTCTCCAAAAATCTGCACAGAGCCTACATTCAGTAACTAGGTGATTCTGTTCAGTGCTAGCAATGATCTGTGCTTTGGTACAGCAAACGATTCACTGTAATATGTTGAGGAACATCTCAGCTTTTTTGTTGAATCAAAACTAAGGGGTTTTTGGGGGTTTTTTTTGTTTGGTTTTTTTTTGTTACCAATGATTGTAATTATTGACAAAGATGGATAAATGTGTTGGGCTTTTTTTCTGGTTTTGTTTAGAATTTTTTTCTTTTTTCATAGAATCACAGAATGTTTTGGATTGGAAAGGACCTTACAGATCATTTAGTTCCAATCCCCCTGCATGACACAGACACCTCCCACTAGACCACATTGCTCAAAGCCCCCTCCAGCCTGTCTTTTTTTTTTGCTTAACCCTGTGGTACTTCTTTCCATTTGTTTTTGCACCATTTTTCTCCAAAAATCTGCACAGAGCCTACATTCAGTAACTAGGTGATTCTGTTCAGTGCTAGCAATGATCTGTGCTTTGGTACAGCAAACGATTCACTGTAATATGTTGAGGAACATCTCAGCTTTTTTGTTGAATCAAAACTAAGGGGTTTTTGGGGGTTTTTTTTGTTTGGTTTTTTTTTGTTACCAATGATTGTAATTATTGACAAAGATGGATAAATGTGTTGGGCTTTTTTTCTGGTTTTGTTTAGAATTTTTTTCTTTTTTCATAGAATCACAGAATGTTTTGGATTGGAAAGGACCTTACAGATCATTTAGTTCCAATCCCCCTGCATGACACAGACACCTCCCACTAGACCACATTGCTCAAAGCCCCCTCCAGCCTGTCCTTGAACACTTCCAGGGAGGGAGCACTAGAACTTTACACTAGAATTCTTCACTGCTCTATCTGCTACTTTCTTTTTGACTCCCTACTTCTTTTCTGTAAACACTTTAGAAAATCGTTTCCACTTGTGACCGCAGTGAAATGGCTAAAACAACTTTAAATACATCTCCTTTGCCAAGGACATTGAATGAAAGCACAGCTTGTTTGGATACCAGTGAATGCAGCACTTAAACTTTTCAGAAACTAAGATCCCTTTTTAATGTCAATATTATTCAGTAGTAGTGAAGTGCAGCAGATACTAAGCAGAAGTCTTCTGGGAACTGCAATGCCTTTGCTTTAAAGTTCAGAAATACCTTCAAACACTGATCAACTTCCTGGGTTTCTGTAGCACACAGATGAAAATTTGGTATCTTGACAATTAAACCTATATGCATTTATTCATGATGCTACTTTTTTGACTGCATGGGGAAACTAGCAGAGAGTTTTATTTCCTCTGTGGACATTCTTAATGCAGAGTGAACTTATTTAATATATTTTGAGAAAGTGGAAAATATGTCCTGAAGGACACTGAGCACACACTAGGTTAACAGTCACATCTTGGCTGATTGTGCCTTTGTTTCTTCTACAGCTGAGTCTTTGTTCTTACACAATGATGGAGCCTTTTTTCATATGTTGTCTAGACAGATGCCATATCTACATATTCCTTTAATCTCTAGACCCCACTAGAACACCAGTGTGTGTTTAAAATATCATGAGACCAACAGTATAGTAAGATTTTAAAAAAACAGGTTGTCTAAAGCTAAGGCTGTGTAAAATTACTTCCACAAACAGAGTCAGCTCTTTATGAACTTGTTTGTCTATACAAAACATTGCCTAACCATCTAAAGATCACAGTTCTAGAGTCCTGCCATAATTATGGGTTGGACTGCAATCCTTTCAGGTCCACCACCTGTGACAGTATTGCCCGAGACAGCAGCTGTATTGCTTCCTACATTTTTCATCCTTGATTCACCTGGGCTGCAGGGACTGCCAAGATCCTAACCTTTTTATCTCTAAACTACTTTTCCAAGCTTTGGCTTCTCTGTCATTCTCTGCAGCATAACAATGTTGGTTTGGCTGCTCTTCCCACTGTTTTCAGCCCCTCAGTGGAAAAAATGAGCTTGATTTCTTCCTTGTCTTTGCATAAAAGGGGATAACTGTTAAGACACTTCTTCCTTTGAAGCTGTGAGCCTTTTGGACTATTGGAGATGGGAGGATGTCACCTTAATCCTTTGCTGAAGGGGATCTTTGATACTCATGGGAGATTGTCAGTAGTAGCAATGGCTGGTCACAGGTGGGAATAGACCTTTCCCTGTCCAGGCAGCCTCCTAGACATATCAAGGCCTATTTTTGGCTAGGATAAAACCTTTCCCACCTTTCACATCCTGTAACCAAATCTCGGTGTTAACTGCTTAGCTGTGTTGCAAGTGCTCATTGCTTGCCCAGCCAGTGCTGTCCATCCTGGGCAGGACTGAGGTGGGCTGCTGGCTGTCCCATGGCTGCAGTAAGCAATGGCAACAAGTTCAGTGTTTCTGTCCTCTGAAATAACAATCCTAGTAGCAGTCCAAACAACAGCTGAAGCATTTGTGCTGTTTTTTTCTTGTCTGTAATCTAGTATTTTACTACTTTCTTGTTCTCACTGAAGATTAGTGGATAAAAAGCTTTTGGGTGAATTTTGATATTCAGCAAGAGCTTTCATTGAATAAAGGGGACAGGACAGAGCTCTTAGCTGCAGAACCAGTGGGTTAGAGCACGTGTATCCCAGCACAGATTTCTGTATCTGCCCAAGTTACCTTAATTAATGCTTTAAAATTTCTCCACAGGCCATCACTCGCCTCCTTCCAGACTTTGATGTCCAGGCAAGTAAAATGATTCTTCTTTTTCTTTTTGGTAAATGGGGAAACTGAATTGTCATTTGAGAAGACAGCAAAATGTGATCAGAAATGACTGACTGCTGGCCAAAAATACTGTGACTGTGGGAGAGGGGCCTGAATGGGGCTCTGAGGGAGCAATGTGAAGGGGACTGCAGGAGGTCTTTTCAGACTGAGGCTGAGAAAGTTCCATCCAAAAGAAATGGCCGGGTTGCAAGAAGCTCTGTTCTTGCTAAGAGAATGAGATTCTTCAGCAGTGGCAGTGAAAGCAAAATATTCCCCTCCCCCATGGACACACACACTTTCCTCAATTAATTTGCTTTCATTAACAGAGTGTGTGCTTTTCCTCAGAGGAAATGTTCTTGATGTATCCCATTAAGCTGTTGAAAGTTTCCAAAACATTTCTGAAGCCTGTGGAGTGGTGGAAGGTACTAAACAATCAGTTTTGCTCCTTATGAGAGTGGGTCAAACTGGGAGGGGGACCAGGGAGCTTGTACCTGCATCTGCAGAGTGGTAAATTCCCACCACTGAGGACAGGAAGGAGTATGTGTTGGAAAAAAAAGACTTGCTGGGTGTCTTATTTTTATCAAGGGGGTGTAACGAGGGAGGGAGATTGTGCAGGGATAAGGAAAAGCTATTAAATTGTTCTAGTGTCTTGAATGTGCAGGAGGAGGAAGTAATCCTCCTGTAGGCTGTGGTATGTTGCACTTTATTTGCACTTGTCTGTATTTTTATTCAGTGCTGTACAAACTGGTTAAAAATCCAGCACAAACTCAGTAGCCTTTTCCCTGAAAATTGAGACAGTTATCTCAAACCTCTTTATCATTTTTCAATGGCTCTTACTTCTATAGTAAAACTGTAACTTACATTTTTGTGTCTACCCCCTCATCCTGTCTAAGGATGAAATCTACTACCCGAAGTCTTGATAAATGTAAGTTAAAGTTGTTACCATGCTCTTCCTGCAGGACTGTGCACAGCATGGGGGAAGCTTTGAGTTCAGATTGATCACTTGGTCTAAGTAAATCTGAATCCCAGATTAACACTGCTGACAGAAATTCTGCAGTATTTTGATTAAGAATCCAGAACTGGCCCATATTTAATTTCTATTCTTGGAATAAATTTGCTTGGTTTGTAAACAGTATGTATATATAGATTTTTTTCTAACTTGCAAGATCAAGTATTCTAAGCCTTTTTGTTTTTTTCTATGTTTTGGATTAACTGTCCCTAATCCAGAGCAGTGGTTCTTGTCATTTAGCCCTGTTCTGCCAGCTCCTGCTTTTTTAATGATCTTTTTTTTTCTTTGAGTTTAATCTTTGGTTGTTCTAGGTCAGGAAGGAAAAACGCAGAAGAGTCTCAATCCATTATGTTAAGAGCTGCTGCTCCCAAGAAGGCCCAACTTTGGTCCTTAAAACCACAAATATCCTACCTATGTGTCTTTAAGTTCTTTTGGTTTATGAAAAAGGTGGTTTGTAGCTGTTAAGAGAGCTTTCATTACTGAGTTCATTAGAGAAGGTCATGTGTGGCCCTGGAGGACCCAGTTCTGACACTGAAGCTGATGTGTGCTCTTAATAAGAAACCTGTCCCTTGAGCCACAGTTGGGAGGAGGATGGACCTGGCCCAGAAAGGAGATGAGCAATGCTTGGCAGGATGGACCCCTTTATTGGGAGTGCTGTGAGTGTCCACCATATCCCTTGAAACTTGCTCTGCCCTTTTGGGGACAAGTTAGGCAATGTTCAGTTTAAAACTTAATTTGTGCTACTAGTGAAAAAGTGGTCACTACATGTGAGGCGTGTTGATTCCAAGAATAAATTACATCTACTTATTCAGGTTTGGAAAGAGAGAGACTCTTACTTCACATACTGTTTTAGATGGACTTGAGTTGAACATGCTGCTCCATTTATGAAGTAAGCTACTGTAATAGTGGAGTATCTCCCTTTTGAAAGCACACATTGCCAGACATGTCTGTGGTTATTCTGTGGAGGAAAGCTTTCATGAAATCACCAGGGGCTGGCCAAGGCAAGAGATGGAATAACAGACAGCTCTGAACTACCTGTAGTCAGCACTATATGCCTGTCTGTGTATCCAGCCTGTGGCACCTACCTGAAATTTTAAATGAAGGTCCCCCACCTCCCAGAAACGGGAGTGTTCTTGGCCAAACCTGTTTTAGCACAATGAATGATAAACTGGTGCAGGGCAGTGTGCCCTAAACTGCTCGATGTTGGCTAAATGCCAAACACATTTTAATTGTATTTCCAGTTTGATGTATTTGCCTATTCTCCAGTTCAGCAGCAATGGAGCTGATGGAAACCTGGCTCCATGCCACTTGGTGTCAGTCTCTCAGCTTTGCGTTGCAGAAGTGAGCAGTCCATCAGGAGGCTGCTTTCTCAATAAGGAAGTAAAACTTTCCAGGCTGTGCAACAGCTCTAGGTATGTTTGTGGCCATATGTATCCACTGGCATGAAAGGATCACTTCTATCTTTCCTTCTCCTGCCTACAGAAGAGAAGGAAAGAGCTGCCTTGTAGCAGGAGACAAATCATCTGGTCCTCCTGGTGCGATGGGTTTCACACTGACATCAGTGGATGCAGTTTAGGGCTTTGGAGTTTATTTCACAAATTTCCTCATCCTTTTAGGTCTCTAAAAGAAAGGAATAATTTAGGTTGGAAACTACCTTTAAGATGATCAGGTCCAACCATTAACCCAGCACTGCCAAATCTACCACATCCCTGAGCACCACATCTACATGTCACTTCTAAATACCTCCAGATGCGGTGACTCCACCACTTCCTGGGGCAGCCTGTTGCAATGCCTGACAACCCTTTCAGGAAATATTTTTTTTCCTGATACCCAGGCAAAAGTTCCCCTGGCACAACTTGAGGCCATTTCCTCTTGTCCTGTCACTTGATACTTTAGAGAAGAGATTGATGCCCTCCTCACTACAACCTCCTTTCAGGTAGTTACAGAGAGTGATAAGGTTTCCCCTCGCTCTCCTTTTCTCCAGACTCAACAACCCAAATTCCCTCATGCTCCTCGTAAGACCCTTCACCAGCTTTGTCCTTTTCTGGACATGCCTCAGCACCTCCATGTCCTTCTTCACAAAATCAGAGAGGGGCCCAAAACTGAGCACAGTATTTGAGATGTGGCCTTACCAGTGTCGAATACAGGGGAACAATCACTGTCCTGGTCCTGCTGGCCACACTATTCCTGATACAAACCAGGATGCCACTGGGATGGGGCTCGTTCTGGCTTTGTGCTTTTGCAGAGCAGTGTGACCCAGGAGTAATCAGACTAGAGAGAATCCCTGGGCAGAACTCTGGCAATTATCTGCCTCAGTTCCAGCACCAGTTTTTGTTACTGGCTCCCACCTTAACAGAATCATTTACATCTAAACTACAGAACACATTTACATCTAAAAGCTTATTAACATACCCAACTCACAACTTGAATTAGGGAACCTTTTTCTTAATATTACTAACTTAAAATAGTCTTTTAACACAAAAAAAAAAGAAAAAAAAGAAAAAAATGGTAAATCCATGGAATGGTGAGTATTTGGGTTTTAGAAGAATGTTAAAATGGATTGAAATAACTATTTGAGAGTAGAAAAACCTAAGGGGAAAAAGGCTAAATAACTTCAGGGCAAAGGAGATTTGAAATCCAACATTGCAATACCACATTAAAAGCTCACATATTTTTGACCTTTAATATATTGAAAAAAAGAATTGAAAAATAGCATAAGCAGGTATTAGTATATTTAATTTCTGAAATAGTATGAACTTAAAATATACTATCTCCTAGCAATTTAAAAGTGATTTCAATCCCCTTTGAAAACTCTGAAGCTTTTCCATCAGTTCTGAGGCAGGAGCTGGAGGTGTATTTAACAAGTGTAATATTATAAATTAAAATAGAAGCATGAGTTGGTAACTGAGCATTAAGTATATTTGAAAGCTTTAAAACAATCTTGATGGAATGTAGTATTTAACTTAAAGCATACAATATGGGTTGTTTTTTTTTAGTAAAATGTGAAATGTGTGTGTGCTTTTCCTCTTTAAGTATCTAAATGATCTTGATTGCTTATCCCATACTTGAGAAAACAACCACTTGTTTGTAAATATGTTCCTCAATTCATACCTTCCTTAGCCAGGGTAGAGTGGAGAAGGAATAAAAATACTCTCTTGTGTTATTGGCTTAGAAATTACCTCGACCTTCTAACCTCATGGAAAAAATGTCAAAAAATGTCACTTGACCATCCCCTCAAAAAATCTGCTTTAGAATGAATCAGCTCCTTCACGCTAATGTAGCTTCTCTAAAACTGCATGTATTGAGACAATTTTCATGTGTGTTTTTAGGGAACTAAGATAAGACTGCACCTCTGTTCAAGTGAGAGATGTGAACAGATGGTGTGTTTGTCTTTATCCTTCTATCGGATTACTGTACCTTGGATTTTTTTCCAAGATAGTGTTTTAATACAAATCAGTTGGTGAAGAGCTTCTTACTATAATGTTGACGTTGATTGGGATGTGCTGCCATCTGTTTTCAGTGCTCTGCATTTTGAAAACGTCCATCCCTACATCACGTAGACAAATCTCCTGATCTTTAATAGGATCAATAGGGACGTGAAATTGTTGGTTTGATGTCACCAAAGAAACTGGTTTGAATCGATTGTTTTTTAGGAAAAACATTTGTGTATTTGCAGTTAAGATTTCATGTGAATGGAAAATAGTACAAACCCTCTTTAATTAGGGGAGTCTTACTGTGAAGATAATGAGGAATTAAACCAATTGTTAAACTGACTGTGATTTATGCCAGCAATTAGGAGTATGGTTGCCTGTTGTCTCTGAACTATTTTTAGTTGACACTGAGTTTGAACTAGACTCAGAGTTCAAGTTCCAGAAGTGTTATCTGTGGAGGTCAGTGGGATGGCCATGTTCAAGGGTCTGGCATTATCTACCATGGGTAAACTTTTGTCTTTCATGCATGAACAAGAAAGATCCAAAATATTGAAAGGTTGTCCCTCCTAAGAAAACGCATTCTAGGTTTTCATTGGATCTGGCAACAAAAATATGATGATATCAAATGCCTATTAATCTCTAACCGAGGAGGAAATTATTTCTGTGTTCCACACTCAGCAGGAGGTGCCTTACACAGTATTGCTTACACTCATCATTTGCCAAACAAATTATTTTTATGCTTTGTTTTGAAAATTATCTAAGTAGAAAAATAAAGTAGGATGTGGAAAATACTGCTTTCTGTTATTAATTAGTAATGTTGTTAGTTGCTATCTATTACTAATGAAAATATCTTCTGGAATATTGGATTATGACTATATCTACAATACCCAATTTTCTGCCAAAATGGTTGTACAATAACATTATGACTCAAGTAGGAATACTCTAGAGAAATGTAGTTTATCTACTTGGAAAATACTAGATTTCAGACATTTAAAATCCTCATGTTGTTGTGCAGTATCATTCTGACTTACACTGATTTTTCAAAATCTTTTGTGTTTTCACTGGAAACTTTAATCCTGGCTTCTAGGAAAGCAAATGCTTCTAATTTTATTTAGAATGAATTTTGTAGTATTCTAGCATTTGATATAACAAAACCTGAAATGAAGTTGAACTTAAAAAAACCTAATGGGAACAGCCACAGGAAATATTGTACTAATTCCCAGGTTTGAACTTTGGCACTTTGTACATTGTGTGTCAGAGACTTAGCTCATCTTTGATGTCTGAGCTGTACTGAGTAAGTACTTCTCCTGGTCAAACCTGACTCAAATCCTATTTAAGAATGACGTCCTCTTTAGTCTGTTTTGGTTTTTCTAGCTGAGCACTGTGGGAGTCATAAGCCTATGCAGGATAAAAGCTTGTCTATATAACCCAGTCTCCTACTTGGAAAACGTAAAAACTAGCTCCTGTCCTCTGCTTGACTTGCTGAATTTATCACCCTGTTTTGCCTAAAGATGGTGCTGGATGTGGAGGATACAACTTACCTGCTAAATAATGCAGTGAGTATGCAGAGGAATGAATCTCTAGAGAGACATGAGTGCTGAAAATCAGTGTTTCAATGAAGTTTATAGTTCAGATAGCAGCTATGCTTAGCTCACCCCATGTACAAAGGGGGAGGAATCTTGATTCATTGCTGTAATTGTAACTTAAAACTGATGTGAATGTGTAATTACTAGGGAAAAGGAAGAAATGTGGGATGGTGTTGCCTAGCATCCTTATTTTCAAACAAATGTGTGTTCTATTCCATCTATCAAATTAAGAAGCTGAGTTTTAGATGAAATTACTACCTTGAATCTCTGAAGAGCTTTTGGGTTTTGCTCTGTAAAGGTTTTCACAGAGGCTGTGCACTCCTGATGTCTACATCATAATTTTTCATAGATTTGAGTTTAACTTGGACTTGGACATTACTGTACAGGGCAAGTCAAGAAAGCCTGGCAGCAGCAGACAGCACACTGCACTGAATGACATGGACATCTGTGTCTTGTGCAGTAAATAAAGTATTCTGGTGAAATGCTAAAGTGGCTGCTGACTGGACTGCCTTGACTGTGATGTGTACTGTAAATATGTGTCATAAATAACCTGTTTTGTGATTCTCTTTATATGTGTTGGCAAAATAACAAATTGTTTATACCCATCTGAAGTTCAAGTGCAAATGAAATATTTTTTTCCATATGTTGTGGGTGTTAATATGATGCAAGTCACATCTAACTTACATAGACACCTGATAAAAGATGGTACTCAGCAGGTCTTTTACTTGTTAATTAAAGTAACTTTAGCTTTAAGATAATATTGTTATGTTACAATATGTTATATTAAAAAAACAGTAGTATGCTTCTTAATGTTGTTGCTCCAATAATCACCACCACAAGGCTGTAGATATGTTGCTCCATAGCAAAGTTTAGACCGTTGGGTTTATAATCAGGTCTATACATAGCAAGGCATAAAATTAACATGTGGCTCTGGTGTTTATGGGGAAGGGGCTACTGTAATCTCAAGGCCCCACAGTGTGATAAGTCTTCATGATTAATACTACTTAATACTGTTTCTTTGGGGTATGGATTTTACTTCCTGAGTTAGTCTGTTGCCTAGAAAACAGAAGTATTTTGTCTGGGTAGCTTGCACTTTTGTAAATGTCAACAGTCATCGTTGTAAACCTTTGTTATTTCAGTTGTCATTGCACAGAACCACTTTTGAATTTTTTCTTTTGCTGCATTTTAGTGAAGTTATAAACTATTCAACCCTTGGCATCTCACTAGAGCTTGAAGCTTAAGTGCTTCTGTAGTTGTCTGTGGACTGGAGTATGTGACAGCCACATGTAAAATCTTAGAAGAGAGATCTCTCTGTGGGGGAGAACGGGGTGCTGTGCAGACCCCCGAGGCTGTGGGCAGATCCTGGGCTGGGGCTAGTCTTGTGCTCTTGGTCACCTAGAGCTCTGCTGCAGCAGGTGTTCAGTGGAGCCTTTGCACAAGCCCATAACAGGTTCCTCTTGTCCTTTGCCAGGAGCAAGATGTAGAGACTGTGCATGGGTCGGTCCATGTCACCATGTGTGGGACTCCCAGAGGGAACCGCCCAGCCATCCTCACCTACCATGACATCGGGCTGAACCGTAAGTAGACCTTTGCTTTAATAGCACAGGTGTGGAAGCAACGATGGTTAGAAAACCTTCCCTGGGTCCTTGCTTGCTTATGTGCTTTGCAACCTGTTGGATGGTACCTAATTCCTCTCCTATGTCAAGTATAATTTTCTCATTTTTCTTTTTTTATTTTTACCTTGCAAAGCGAATACATGGAATATTTCACTTAAAGGAACAAAGGGTCTCTGGTAGCTCATAGTGACCACAATCAAATGCTATAAAAACATCTGTAGGGGATGGCTGAGGGTATGTTTCCAGAAGAATTGAAACCAACATTGCTAGTGCTTTGTCTGAGGTTCCTGTCTGATAACCCGTATTAAGCTGCTGTGGGTTTAAGTGAATTACATGTCAAATCAGGATGATGAAAGGAGTTGTGTCCTCAACTATTAATAAAATAGCTTTGATAAGCACCTTTTATCTTATCTGTCATATCCAAGAATATAAGAACCTAATATCCAGATCTGCTCTAAGTTGTTCTTTTCACCAGTACTGTTAACTTCATACAGTTTACTGTTTCTTAATCAGTTATCAATATTTACATTTTAAAATGCCTGTGTATCTTTAAAGTCTGGCTATTGCTGGGGTGTAGATATTACTCATTAGAAAAAAAACCCAACTGTTTTCTTGCTTAGTTTTTGAGGAAATACCTTACTTTATTTTGGATTTTCAGTGTGTCAGGGCAGAGCTTAATCTGGATCCCATCTTTGAGAGACTTTTTTGCTTTCTAGAGTTACAAATTCTATCTCTATGGTGAATGTCTTTCTCTCCCTTTAAAGGAGGAGGAGCCTCTTCCCAAACTCCCATATTCTCCTAAAAATGTAGCAAAAAATGTTTTATATTCTGCAATTATTTTGCTTGTATGTTGTAGTGTAAGGACACTCAGAAACACATACAGAATATGGAACTATTTTCTAGACATCTCAAAGAAGATGTTACAGAATTCATGTTTTGTGCTCCAGGAGGAAATTATGCTCACTCTCTCCCACATTAATATTGCTTAAAAATCATAAATCAAATAATCTTGGAGTTGGGAGCCTACAGCATTGAATATCCCAGAAGAACACTTGTCTTGAGCTGTTTGCAGCCGCCCATCATGTGATGCTTGTCTTGTGGTTTTGCTCAAATATAAGAAATCACAGTTTCAACCTTTGACAGTTTTTTCCTCTATCTGTTTTGGCACAATCCAAAGAAAAATGACTGGACAGGTAAATAGATAATTTCACCTGAGCCAAAGCCTGGCATGAAAACTTGTGGCTGTGTTTTATTAGCATTTTCATAGAACCATAGAACTATACAGGTTGGAAAAGCCCCTTGGGATCACCAAGTCCAACCATCATCCCTACTCTACAAAGTTCTCCCCTAAACCAGATCCACCAATATCACATCCAAACAACCCTTAAACACATCCAGGGACAGTGACTCCACCACCTCCCTGGGCAGCCTATTCCAGTCTCTAACGACTCTCTAACCACTCTTTCTGTGATTATTTTTTTCCTAATGCCCAGTCTAAACCTCCCCTGTTGCAGCTTGAAGCAATTGCCACTTGTTCCATTGCTAATTACCTGTCAGAAGAGACCAGTACCAACCTCTCTACAATGACCTTTCAGGTAGCTGTAGAGACTGATGAGGTCTCCCCTCAGCCTCTTCCTCAAACAAAACATTCCCAGCTCCTTCAAGTGTTCTTCATAAGATTTATTCTCTAGGCCCTTCACCAGCTTCATTGCCCTCCTCTGTACTCACTCCAGCACCTCAATATCTCTCTTGAATTGAGGTGCCCGGAATTGGACACAATACTCCAGGTGTGGCCTCACCAGTGCTGAGTACAGGGGGACAATCACCTTAATTTTCACTTTGCATAAATAAAATTTTTTTTTTTATATTTTGGTATACCAAGAAAATACTTCTGGCAGGTACCAAAATAACATGAATAAATTTTAGCTGGCCACAAGGAAGGAGGTTTTCAGGGCTTTTGCTTTAAGGAATGAAAGCAAGTTGGCAGAGGTTGCTTTGTAGCAGGGCTTTAGTCTTTTTACCTCCTTAAGAATAAAGGACTGCCATTTTCCCAGGCTATAACATAGCTCACCTAATTGAACCAACTTTTCATTAACTTGCAGAACAAGTTAATAAATTATTTTATTATAACTGCAAACTTGCTATTTCCCCTCAGCATAATGATTCTGTGGTTTCTTTTCCTTCTCAAGATAAAACTTGCTTCAATCCCCTCTTCAACTTTGAGGATATGCAGGAAATCACCCAACACTTTGCAGTCTGCCACGTGGATGCACCTGGTCAGCAGGATGGAGCACCATCTTTCCAAGCTGGGTGAGTTGCCAGGGAAACAGCCCAAGCTTTCAGACTTAGTCTTTCTGGAAAAAGAGTTTTGATCTGCAGTTTAATTAAAAAGCACTTGTTGCAAACCCAGTAGTTGGCTTTTGAACTTGCATCCTGACACACTGTTTCTAAGGTACCAGCACCCTGGGAGCTCTGTTGTGCTGAGCCAGTTCACATTAGACTTTGAGGCTGTCATTTTGTGCTTTATCTCTGATAACTCAAGTGCTTGTAAAGCAGTTCCTTGACAGATGTCTACATCTCTCTCTCTGAGTATCGAGTCACCTTGTTTTGTACTGACAACCTGAACAAAAATACTATAAACAACTCAGATATTAGCCAATATATCATGTCCTTCCTAAATCCATTATTTATTTTTTTGTTACATGGCAGTATTTCAGATGTTGATAAGTTGACTTGATAAACCAGGTGGGAAATCCAACTTTGTTGGACAATAACAAAGTGGTGTATCATGCACCAGTACAGATTAGGAGCTGATCTGCTAGAAAGCAGCTGCATAGAGAAGAACCTTGGAGTCCTGGTGGACAACAAGTTATCCATGTGATAGCAAAGTCCCCTTGTGGCCAAGAAGGCCAATGGTATCATGGGATGCATTAAGAATAGTGTGTCCAGCAGGTTGAGGGAGGTACTGCTCAAGAGCAGAGGTTTTGCTCTGCCCTAGTGAGACCACATCTGCAGTATTGTGTCGCGTTCTGGGCTCCCTGGTTCAAGAGGGACAGGGATATGCTGGAAAGAGCCCAGTGGAGGCTATGAGGATTATTGATTCAATGGAACATCTGTCATACGAGGAAAGTATGAGAGACCTGGGGCTGTGTAGTCTAGAGAAGACTAAGAGGGGATCTTTTTAATGTATATAGATATCTGAAGGGCAGGTGTTAAGAAGGAGAGGCCAATATAATTTCAGTTGTGCCCCATGGTAGGACAAAGGGCAATGGATGAAAACTAGACCACAGGAAGTTCCACCTCAACATGAGAAAAATCTTCTTTACTGTAAGGGTTACAGAGCACTTGAACAGGCTGCCCAGAAATGTTGTGGAGTATCCTCTGGTGACTTTCAAGACCTGCCTAGATGCATTTCTGTGTGACCTGCCCTAGATTCTGTGGTGGTCCTGCTCTGGCATTGCTGGACTCAATGATCTCCCGAGGTCCCTTCCAACTCCTAGCTTTCTGTGATTCTGTGTATCTAATATCATAGATAGCTGAAAACTTGTGACTGGAAGGCAGCAGCCAACATGCCAAGGGGAGGTTACAAGGTGAGGAATGGTTGTTCTCTAAGAACTAAGTATTAAGGAGCTTATGTACCTTTACGGCATGAGCCAGTCTATTTCCCTTCTTAATTTTTAAGCTGGTCTGATGCTGAGGAGGTCATGATGGGCCAGGTTCTCAGCAAGCGTTAACTGCAACAGCCCAGTTGCCTACCACAGCAGCCTACAAAGCTATTTCAGTCACCCCCTTTGTATTTGTTTTAGTGATGAGCTTTTAAGTATCTTAGACCTTGTGTCCTGAACAACCACTAACACTTCTTAGTTGTCAGCTGCATCATGATCTATGCCAGTAAAAACCACTGCTTATGACCATGTCATGATGACAGCACAGGAAGCTGTATTATCTCTCCCAGCCCTTCAGCTGGGAGGCCAACATGCTCAAGTTAAAATATTTGTTGTGGTGACATGAGTTTTTTGTCATGGCAAGGCTTAGTTTCCCAACATGAAAATCGAAGACAATATCTTTGAGTAGTTTTGCACTGAGATGTTTTTTTGTTTGTTTTGGCTTTATTTTGGAGACTAAACCAGATAGATGTAGTCCTGATGGAAAGCAGAAACTTGGATACACCCTAGGCAGATTTTCTCAGCTACTTTTTGAGGATTTTTTCATGTGCTGCTCAATTGAGATTTTGCTCAGAATTTCCTTCCCTCAAAATTTTGCTTCTCTGCAGGAGACCAGGAGCACTAACTGACATCTATCGTTATTGAACTTCCTTAGCAGATCTGTAGCTCTTCCTATGCCTTCATTGTCATAGATATTAATAGAAATCAATATTAATAGAAAGCTCTCCTCATTTATCCTATGATAATTTTTATGTCCCTGAAAGCAAGCATGCAAATTATTTGCCAAAGATCTAGATCTCATTGCTGAAGTCTGTGATTCTGCAGCACGGGAAAAATTTCCTGGTGGACCAGAAGTACAAATATGGGGAATGTGGTTGGAAACTCACTGCTCAAGTTCAAACTTTTTCATAAATTTTACATGCTAACTGCTCTTGGAAGAGATTCATTATGGTCTGTTTTGCTCTTAGCCAGACCATAATCCTGTTACTCACATAAAGTACCATATAGATTATGCTCATATTTCTGCTAAATTACTTATTTGTGCTTGCTCCTGATTTAAATTCAGCTCATACTCTCAATGATCTTGTAATGAGCACATTCAGTATTAAATCTACAGTGACTGCTGTGTCTCTGAATATTCCAGCCTACTCTTCTGAGAATGTTGTATAGTAACTCCACAAACACGTATTTGTTGTAGGTACATGTATCCCTCCATGGATCAGCTGGCTGAAATGCTTCCTGGAATCCTAAAACAGTTCGGGTGAGTGCAGAATTGTTTGCTTGTTTTCCACATTCTTCTCTCTACGTGGCACATCAGAAGAGCAGGGCAGAGCAGATGTTCTGTGATGTCCCTGAAGCTTTGGTCTCTATCTGGCATTTTGTTTGCTAGAAGTCCAGTTGTGGTCTGTTATTTATTTTTTTTTTTTTTAATTCCTCTGGTGTAGATGGATCACTTTTGCCTTTGTTTCTGAAAGAGCTTAGTTTTTGGCCTTTTCTGAAATGTCTGTTTATTTTTAAACAGGAAGCAAGTTGGAGTGAAATCCCATGTGCCTAATTCAGGGGCTTCCTCCAGTATTTTCTCTGTGTCGCCCTCACAGGGGCAGGGCACAATCTGTTCTTCCCACTGTAACAACCCACGTTTTCCTGTGTGGTTAGCAGCAAAAAAAAAAAAAAAATCCACTGTCTGTTCTGAAGGCACTTTTTTTTTCTGGGTGTAAAGTGTCTTTAGGGAGTCAGTTTAACCTCCTTAAGCTTCTTCTGCTACCAAAGCGTAGATGCCAGGTTGGTGATGTTGAAGGACCTAGTGGCAGTGCTCATCTGTTGTCTCCCCACAGCATGTGTGTCCTCCCTTAAAACTTAGCTTTAGCAGGAGCTGTATCTGAGAAAGATACTTTCTCTGTGGAGCTGTTGCTCCTGTTACACAATGAAGGGTACAGGTAGACACCTCCAAGGGGTTTTTAAGGTCAAGCAGAGAAAGAAAACCTGGCCTTTAGGGTTAGGCAGTCTTGGAGGACACCTGGACTGCTGGAGGGGGCAGTTAGTCTCCAACCAACACCCCAGTTTAGGTGTTGCCTAGTTGTTGTAACCAGCTGTTACACTACCTTGAACCAGTTTACCTCACTGTCTTCTTAAGAGGTGTGATTTTTGAAAGTCTTAATGTAAGGCACAGAGTTGACAGTTCTGCCCTTGCACTGAAAAAAATGCCAACAAAATGTCAGTACCTTGAAAATCAATTAAACAAAGCCTTGATTTAATAATGCTAATGAATCTTATCCTCAGGTATTTTCCTAAAAATATTGTATAACCTGTTTTTCTGCCTGGTTTTGCCCAGTCTTTCCTTCCAAGTATTTTCTAAGACCTTGAAGGCGATGCTTTAAAACCCAATTTCAGTTAATGCAAATATTTGGTTTGTCTCTGCCCTATTTAGTTATGAAGTTTAAACTGAATCACCCCAGAGGCTGGATAGCATGAGAGGTTTCCCTGCCAGCCCCCTGTTAAAGAGGAATCAGCATCCCAGTTGGATAACTGAGCTGGGGAGGGCTTTGGGAGAGGGGAGCTTTGTATTTAGGCTGCAGATTTCAGGATTGTATCTTAAAACTTTTCTGGCAGAGACTATTTCCTTCCAGAATCAGAACAATGCTATGGTTGCTCAGTGTATTTACTTAAAGACAAGTGAGAATTGCTGCTGCTCTGCAATGCATGAGAACTGGTGTCCTGCAAATCTGCTGGTAAACAAACCAGCTGCTCTTTTGAGCTCCTTACTGGGGCCAGTGGCCTTGCAGGGGATCCATGGTTTGCCTGAGCTGCAACCACCCTTCTGTAGAACCACACTGGCATGTGAAAGAGGAAGGCTGCTGATGTGGGTTGATTTATTTTTATTGCTGTCTTACTCATTTGTCTCTTCTGTTTTATTCTTGTGCAGGCTGAAGAGCATTATAGGAATGGGAACTGGAGCTGGTGCCTATATCTTAACCAGATTTGCTGTAAGTTTTGTGGAGCTTCCCTAAAACCTCCAACCTGATTTCCCTGACATCTTGTTGCCCCTGTAGTGTGCACAGAGAATTCCTGCTCTGCCGTGCCCATTTAAGTAAGCAGTTAGGCTTTTAAATGAAATACCGCAATCTGCGGGATAGCTAATCCAGAAGACTGAGATTTTCCATTTTAAGGCCTGGGCTCTACCCAGTTAATTTGCAGAAGATTTTTTTAATGGGAGTTCTCTATTTAAACTGAGGGTGGAGAAGAAGTTAAAACTTAATGTTCTCCAGCTGCTCAGCTGAATTGCTTTAATGATTTTATTTTTTTTCCCCATACATACGCTTGTTTTCTGCAAGATAAAACTAGACCTACTGCTTTTCTCCTCAGGAGATAATTTGCTAATTTAGATTTTACGCTGACTGTCAAGTTGCAAATGATATGTGATGAATATTAAACCTTTTATTTTGCAGCTAAACCACCCAGAGATGGTGGAGGGATTAGTTCTTATTAATGTAAACCCTTGTGCTGAAGGTTGGATGGACTGGGCAGCAACTAAGGTAAACATCTTTAAGTCAGAAAAATAAATGATGCTGTGAGCCTGTCAGGCATGAGGAGCTGGGCAAGTTTGTGTGTCAGGGCATGGATACAAAATATCCCAGGCTAATCCTGTGGGGTTTATTCTTCCATTGGCAAATATAACTCCTGCAGGACTAGTGATAAAAATGAGTACATTGAAGAAACAGATACCCATGATATAATGGGGCTACTGGTATGAATAATCCTTAAGAACTAGTAACTGCTGGGGAAAAGCTGGTTTAATCTGGAAATGGGTGGTTTTGGAAAGAGTTTTCTTTCCAGCAAACTTCAAGAGTAGTGTAACATTCAGTTCTTTCTTGTCCATGGCTTAATTTACCAGCCCAGTCCAAAATGTGAACTAGAGCACAGAAAAATGTTCAGAACAACATATTCCAGGTTTCGATCATCTAACTGAATCTGAGATGCCAAAAAAAATCAGAAAAGGGCATTAGCTGTGGTAACTGTGGACAAATTGTCCATCCAACTAGACTTTTAAGTGAAAATGTTCACATACAGAGAAGCTCCTGTTAACTGTATTCTTTTGTATATGTAAGAAAGATTTCAATGTCATTAAACAGGGACTAAGAACTTGTTTCAAAAATCTTCCTGGAACAAATGCATAGAAATAAGCAGAAATGTTACATCATGGATCACTCAGATTTAACTTGTTAAAACATTTGTCAGGGTAAACTAATGGAAGGCCCTTTGTATCATTCAGGGTCATGTTTAAATGAATGGCAGTTGTTATAAACACACTGAGAAGTACAAAAATTAGTTTGGAATCTTTTAACCACACAGAGTCAACCCTCTAAGTGTTTAGACTGATAATAATTGTAATGACAACCTTGTAATACTGGGAGAAACTTTCCACAATTGGGATATAACATTCTTTTAAGGCTTAGTTACTCATGTTTGTAAAATAACTTTGCATGTCAGTTTATTTTTATAAGTTTGATCTGGAAGCATATTTAGTAACTCCTCTACATTGAGTTGTACCAGTTGATCCATTTTGATGATCTAACTTAGTGTCTCTTTAATGAAATTCTTTAATATCTGTGCCCCTGCCTTTTGCTGCTCAAGTATTGCTGACATTAAGAGCACAGTGGGTGCCTTGTATCCTTCCATCCTTCCAAAGCTAACTGTGTTAGTAAAGATATCTTACTAGGTTGACTCAAACATAAACAACCTCTAATGGAGTTTTAAGGAGACTTGAGGGGAAAAAAAATATCAGTCCAGGATATTGCATGTATAAGGACAGCAGAGAAACATCCAGTGGTCTACTTATGGGTAACTGAAAGGTTTAAATTGTTCAAGGACTGTTTTAATATCGGATACTTAGATAATCTTGCTATTAAGATTTCAGGTTGGACAAATGCTTTACCAGACATGGTCATTTCACATCTTTTTGGAAAGGTAAGGATGTTCAAAAGATTCCTTTTATGTATTCAGTTACCTGTGTTTACTTTGTGGAATTGGGAGGGAGAGAGAAGCCTTCACTTAAACAAAGTACAAAGTTAACCTGTGAGATAGGATTCATATTAGTGTTCCCAGTATTTTGTAGGTTATATACTGTCATGGGGTGTGCCCACAATGCAAGAGCACCTCAGTCATGACAGCTCTAGTAGGGGCAGCTCCCTATTTAGGCAGCCAACACTTAACATGAGTACAGGCATTGATGTGCTCATGTTCTGAGCAGAATTACCCCACAGATTTATTTATTTATTTATTTAATATACCATAATATACTTGTAGCTCTGGGATAGGTGGTTGTTAGTAGTAGTGGTGCTCTTCAGTGAAAGCCAACTTCAATGGAAGTGCTCTGCTGTTTTCTGTGGCTTCCTCACTGTGCTTGAAACTGTTAGTGAATGCAGCAGAAAACTCCATTCCAGTAAAACAAGGAAATAATCTATAAAGACCTTAGAACCAAACTCCTTGAAAATGTTAGTGATTGAAGTCCTTGAAGCTTAGTTACTTACTATTGTGAAATTGAGTTCCATATTACATATGTTTGTAAGCTTTCAACATCTGCTTTACCCTGGAAACATTTATTCAGCTTCTTAGCCTGATTCTTTTTTTGTTTTAAAACTTCACATTTCTCTGACTGTAGCCATCTGCACTACAGCTACATGTTTTGCAATTGTAAGGTCTTGATGTTACAATATACTGAAGTTTTAAAGCAAGAAATGTGGTACTGCAGTCATAGGCTAATGTTAATTCTGGGTGACACCACTGGCTGCTAGAAGTTGTCCTGTCCTTAAAGGTCCACTCCTGTTGTGCAGATATGAGTCTGATACATGACTCCTGTGTCATGTCTTCAGATCCTTTCAGAACATAGCCCTATTCTGAATGATTCTGTCTCCACTGTAGGAAGAAATTCACAGCAACCATGACCTGATCCATACTTACCGTCAGCATATTATTAATGATATGAATCAAACCAACCTTCATCTCTTTGTCAACTCTTACAACAGGTAAATATATTTACCTGATTTTTAACTGGAAACTATTTTAGGAGGCTGTCCAGCACTTAGAGCCAGTTTTACTTGTGTGGTGGAGTTACTTGCGTTGCCCTAGTATAAAATTGACAGTGATTTAGAGATCTCAGGTGGTTCGCTTATGGGAGAAGGACCTTGTGCATTTGTGAGGAGAAAGACAGTATACTGGGACTGAACTAAGACATTGATACTTCAATCTAAGTGGTTCTCCATCCATTGTGGAGGCTACAACATGTATCAGATTAAAATAATTTATGTATCTGTTCTTTCTCTAAACTAGAAGAATATGGAAGTATCTGTAAAACTTCAGTGAATCAAGAGCTTTTGTCTTCATTTTTTTTAGTCGTCGAGACCTGGAGATTGAGCGCCCTATTCCTGGAATAAATGTTGTCACCCTTCAGTAAGTATTTTATTTCCTACCAGTCGACCTGTACATGATGTGAGCTAAAAGGTGTGATCCCTGGGTACATCACATATGTGCTAAAACCTGATCTTGTAGCTTTGTGTGTGAGATAAGAGGTTACTGCAAGTCAGAGACCATCATTAGGAAGACTTCCCCTATTCAAACCTCCAAGCTGTGTTAGCTGAAATTGAAAGCTAAGTAGTTCCTGTCACTGTGTGTCTGCACATTTGTGCTTACAGAGTAAGTACTTGAAAAGCAATTGGTACCTAGCTTCACCTGGATTCTAGTTTGTAAAAACTATAACTCTGAATACACTTTAGCTGTGCCTATGCAAGCAAGAGAACACAAATGAAACTGATTAAAACAAAAATAAACTTTCAGGAAGATGGAGCAGGTATGAGAATTACTGTATGCCAGATATTCTTCTAAAAGCTTTTCACTTATGCTACAACTTGTGCCACAAAAAAAATTGCCAAGTCCTTCTCTGCCCAGCTGCTGATGTTTGCATGCAGGGGACTTTCAGACTCTGCTCTTCTGTCAGTCTGGCTGAAATAGGATGACAGCTCCAAAAGATGGAGCTCAAGGGGTAAAGGAATGGGGGTGAGACTTTGATGCTGATACCCACATTCAATCTCTCATTAAACAAGAAATAAGAGCACTGGAAAGAGGTGAAGGCTACAAGGTGGGGAAAAGGAGAGGTTCTCTGGCAAGGTATCAGAGCATGTCAGCAGATCTGCAGTTAATACAGTGGATTTGATGTGTGCTTAAGCTGTCTGGAATACAAACCAAATTATTTTCACACACAACTGTCACATCCTTCTAGTGACACAAAATGCAGCTTAGGGAAAGTCTGGGGCAGATGACAGAGATAATATGGCTTCTGTGTGCTTCCTTGCAGATGCCCTGTCCTGCTGGTGGTTGGTGACAGTTCCCCGGCGGTGGATGCTGTGGTGGGTATTTCCAACTGCTTTTGCTGCCATGGTGGTGGCCAGGCCAGCCAAGCTCATGCCTGCACAGCAACCTTGCTGGCTGCTGATCCAGCCCAGCTGGCTCTCCTCTTGCAGACCATGGGAGAGCTGCCATTAATTCCTCCCTGTTTGTCCCCTCTGTCTGTGCACCATTATTTCATAGCTGCTGCCTTAGGAACAATTGCCACAGCAGTTCCAGTGAACCGCAAATATTTTCCTTTAGAGAGGAATCAGCTGCTGGTATTTTAGCTTGTTCTGTGGTGTTGGAGCTTTGCCCTGGGTCACTATGGAAGCAAAGACCTTCATTTTGACCATTATAACTTGCCCCAGATGACTGGGTGACTTCAAATGTTGTGCCTTAATAGGCGTGCCCAGCCTGCTGGCCTCTGGCCATATGGCTGCTCACCACTTGGGACGCTACCAGATGACCCCAAATCACAAGATAAATAACACTTGTTGCCACTGGAGTCTCAGAAACAGATTAAAAAAAAAAAAAAATCTATTTTCAACTAATGGGTTTGTTTGTACATAGAAAATAATAGAATCAGAAATGTGAACTGACCTACTTTGGTTTAAAGGTGTATGTATGTATACAAAGAGGTTTTTGTACAGGAGTCTAAGATACACAATTTAGTCTGTACTAAGCCAGAAAACAAGACAGTTAATCTGTTTTTATCCAGCAGTTCATAACTGAAATCTTATATATGATGCCTTATGCTGCTGTTCTTTAACATAGGTCGAATGCAACTCAAAGCTGGACCCAACAAGGACCACACTTCTGAAGGTAATAACAAAAGCTGTTTTCAAAAATAAACATTATCCTCATTTTAAATCAACTGGATTAACTGAAAAAGCAGAATCACAGGAATGTGGTGCAGTACAGATAACACTATGAGAATCCAGTTCTGATGTGCAAGGACAGTTACTTCACAGTAAGACTATTTTAGTGGGATAAACCATACTAGGGGCTTTTTGTCAAGGTTGACAACAAGGAATTTCTCAGCTCCTCCATTTTAAAACACTCAGGTTGAGACTTGAAATGCTCAGTATTTCACATACTCATAATGAATTTGACTAGAGCTGGCACAGTTGATCTCAAGCTATTGGGGAAAGTTTGAAAAAAGCCATCATCAGTGTGGAAACCAACTCATTCTGTTCCTGTGCTTGCCTGACCCTCAACAGTAGTGTCTGATTAAAAGACAGCTGATCTATCAGCCATGGTTTTGTCATCCTGTCATCATGTGGCCACAGTCCAGGAGATCTTACTGTTGGAAAGGACTCTCCCATTTTCCAAAAGCTTGTTAAAATGCACTTCCAAACAGCAAAACATTGTGCAAAGGCTTTGGCTGATAGTTAGCACTGAGTATGGGTGTAATCCTCAGTTTTTTATTGAAGTAAAACGCAACGAGTGCAATAGCATGCAAGTGGTGAAACAAGTTTGGTTGGGCTTCTGCTGAGAACTTTGACTGGATCTCTCTCTTTAGTGAAATGGTCAATGAAAATTATAAGAAAAATTGATTTTTAAATACTCTTTCCTCCTATTGTTGAGCAGTTACAACGCTGACCTACTACATGGACATGGCAGACTCACCTTAAAAAAAAATCTGACAGTATCTCAGATCTTCTATTAGTGGCCAACCTTTGCTCAGTCCAGGGGTACAGCTGATGCCAGATCCTGCTATGGGCCTGTTTTGCTGCTAACTAATCCTAGATAGGAGTTGGGGTTTCCTGTAATTCACAACTCAACTGTTTTCAGCTTGTGGTGTTCCTTGGAACGGGACTGTTTTTGTTGGGTTTGCTTTGAGGGGTGGAGTGGCAGGAAAAATGAAGTGCTCCAAAAATATTGCATGAACTCAAGATAGCTTTTCTAATTTGGCTTTCTCTGCTTCCCTTGGCAAGTCAGGCTGATACTTGCCATCCGCAATCTCAGCAAATTGTTTTTCCCTCTCACCTCTGAGATTTAGGTGTTTGTTCTCTCTTCCCTGTTTGTTATCCAGATCAAAACCAAGTCATGTTACTGAAATTCAGAGCTGAGATAATAGGCTAGTTTCTAAGAAACTGGTAATCACTGCCTAGCAAAAACCCCCATTTATTTGTAGCTTCAAATGCTGCTTTGCCTATTGAGGTTTTCTGGGGTGCAGTTGTGACTTTCATAAACATTTAAATGCCTGCTTTGGGGCTTTCATCTACATGTACTTTACTTCTGCGACAAAAGGAAATGTTATTCTGCCAGACAGCTACAGAGGTCATTTTAATGTATCCTGAGCATAAATGAGTTCCTCTGACATTACGCTAACTGGCTGTTCTCTCTGTTTCAGATGGCTGACTGTGGTGGGCTCCCTCAAGTTTCCCAGGTAGGATTTGGCTGACGGAAATCCCACTAATCCTGTTCAGCAGCGTGTCAGACTGCAACAAATGGGTGTTTTCCTGTAGGGTACTTGCTGTTCCCAAATGTCAGCCAAAAGGATGGTTATGATTTCACAAATAATGATGTCAGTCGGTCATCTGAGCTTTCTTTTTCTTTAAAGACCAATGAAGCGCAAAATTAAGATTGGGAAGGGATATTACTTCCACTAATTAAGTCTTAACTAAGGAAAGGTCTGAGGTGGGAATGCAGAGGTATTATTTTATGCCTATCTGCTAATATAACATGAATCTAAGCTTGAGCACTTGTGTGTGGTTTTTTTTTTAAAAAAAAACATTCTTATTTGGATTATTTATAGTATAGATCAGGAAAGAGGGAGGCAGGAAATAACAACACTGTGTTCTTGCATACAGTGACCCAGCTTGACTGAGAATGAGCTGGAGTGTCTGAAGTATATTTAGGCATAAATCCCAAGGTGGCTAACAGAACCATGCTGGGAAAGTTAAATTTTACCTGTGCTCTAGTGTTTCTTCACTAAAACCTGTGAATCAGCTTTAGGTTGTGATGTTTTCTAAACAGATTTCTAAGCAATATAATGTGATGTTCTCAGCCTTAAGGAAAAAAGCTGCATTTGTAATGACCTGCAGCTGAGAAGCCCCTGGACAGGCAGCATGTGCTCTAACAGAGGGAGTGGGGAAAAGGTTTTTTAAAGCCACAAAGGAATATGTGCATTGCTCCTCTCTAGGTAGACTCCATTGCCTAAACTGATTCAGATAAAAGTATAACAAAAATGTAGGAATCATTTGCAAGGCCAATAATTGAGGTTGAGACTTACTTGGCTACTGTGTGAGCAGCAGAGTAAAGCTGTGAGTGCCTCATGGCAAGAATGTGCAGGTGTGTGTGTGTGTGTGTATTCCTGACAAGCTTTTTTGGCCTATAAACAGAATCATCAGCTCTTTCTAGCTGAATTTATTCTCTGCTGAATTGGAATTGCTGAATTACCAATGCTGTATGAACTGTCTTGTATGTTTTATGAGGTCAGTTGTTTTACTTTGGCTCATCTGTCTCAATAACTGCATGAGCAAAGTTTGGGTCAGGCCTAGACCACTTGTAGTCACTTCTCTGGAAATCTCAAATGCACACACCCATTTGGTAAAATAATAGGGTAGGGGATCAGAGGGAGGGGAATGGTGGAATTTTATCACATAAGTGAAAATTTCAGACATTCAATAGAACCCAGAAAATATTTAAGATGTCTCTGTTCAGATAGAACATCTGTGGTATCTACAACATTGTAATGTAATTAACTCATTGAGCACTGCATACAGTAATATTCTCTTTCTTTTCTAGCCTGCCAAGCTTGCAGAAGCTTTCAAATACTTTGTTCAGGGAATGGGATACAGTAAGTATCAGTTCTATGGAATGATTTCCTTGGCTACCAAAGTCTGTTGGGCATCTAAGCACCTAGACAGTCTTATTATCCCAGATGTGTTATCTTTTCCCTGTTGAATACACATTTGCAAAGGAAAATAACAATACTTATGGAGTCTGGAAGAAGGGTTTTCAGACCAAATTGTTACTAAATGGTAGAGAGCTTTGTAGACAGCTTTCACCCGCAAATATCTGCTTTATCTTGATCTTTTTAAGGTGTCTATATGTAATAGCATCCCCTTGCTGCATCACAGGAGATGATTCATATGCTGCACACAACATTTACAGCCTTGTTAGTTTACAGACGTATTTGTAGCTGTTTGTCCTTCATGGGCTTCTGACAGCTGCTGATGCGTAGATGCATTGATAGCAAAGATTAAACATCTGAAAGTAGTGGGAGGTCTGAGTCTCCTCGGGTTTCCTCTGGCATGTCACAGCCACAGCAACATGCCATAAAGCTCTGTCTTGAAGCCTTCAGCCCCGGCTGCCAGTTTTGGGCTCCTTAACTATGCCTGGAACAGCAGTTTTTCTTCCACACTTGAAGGTACCATGAAGAGCATATGTTCAAGCCTGAAGGCTTCTCCAAGGGTGGTTAGGGCTTGAGAGGAAGGCAAGGGCTTCCTTCCAAGCCCACAGAACAAGGCATTAATGAAAGACTCTTCTTCCAGTGCCCTCTGCTAGCATGACCAGGCTGATGAGGTCCCGCACTGCATCTGGCTCCAGTGTAACCTCTTTGGAAGGACAGAGGAGCCGGTCTCACACCGGAGAAGGCACAAGGAGCAGGTCTCACACCGGGGAGGGAACGAGGAGCCGATCCCACACCGGGGACGGTGCCAGGAACCGCTCCCACACAGACACGCGCATTGAGCTGACGCCCAACTCGGCAAGCAACGCTGAACAATCAAGCCCCAAGTCCATGGAGGTGTCTTGTTAGATGGCTGTGGGAGGTTTAAACTGGCCACAGTGTGAAAAAGTAATGGATGCCCCCTGTGTATCACAAAAAAAAACATAACTGGTATTAATCTCAAGCTATTCTGTAAGATGAACTCTGTTCACCAGGGTCTGACAGGGACCAAAGAAAAGAAGCATCTCATTTGCTCTATCATTATTCTTGTAACTCAGACAGTTGCTGCTATTGTGCCCTCCTTCAATGGATGCCAAATTCTAAAGGATACTTGCCAAAAGCTGATGTGGTTGTAAACACTTCAGAGTCAGACCAGACTTGCTTAATATCCTCCTTTAAAATCAAAGCTGTTACATGCCCCTTTATCTCCTATTCTCTTGAAGTAAACTGGCACAATTTGAGATGAGTTTCAAAGAGGGGGAGAAAAAAAAATCACCATTATGGATGGCTTTTAAAGAAGGAAACAAAACAAATGTGTTATGGCCTCTTATTGAAGCTGGAGTTGAATTCATTGTAAATAGCTTGACTTCAAATGATAGAGATGTTAATGTATCGTGCATTTATAGGCCTTCTAATGCATTAGTACTCAAGCCTGTTTTCCTATGTACAATAATATACTACTAAAATAGGCGATTTCAATGTGACTTGGAGACAAACTAAATCTTTTAGCTTTTTTATTTCACTTTTTTGAGATTTAGTTCCAGTCTTCCTTTCCTTCCACCCTCCTAGACCCTAAAACCCGCTTAGCCAAATGAGGACAGGATTTAAATTTAATAAGCATTTCCTCTTTGGGATCTTGGGCCAAAGGGTTTACCATACCACAAAAGCTGGTGTAGTTGTAACAAGTAGGGTAGCCATACATGCCAGCGAAGCAGAAAGAGCTTGATTTTTCCTTCAGACAGCTTCTTATCTTTGCAGCTCAAGTTTTTGTGTCCAGGACAATTGTGATAAATTTGGAATTCTGTAAGTGAAGCCAGATCCAGCTGTTCTTTGTCAGGAGAGATGAATAACTGTCGGATGGCATGTAATTAGATACTGTACATTCAACTGCCACTAATTACTATATTTGAAATTCTGAGATCTCACTGGTGCTGAGAAGTGTATTCCACAAAGTGATGGAGCGGCAACACTGCATGTGAAATACAGTGTTTAATGAGTGTGTAACTGTAATGATCTGCTGGTTCTGTATCTTGATGAAGCCTCCTGAGACATTGGGTTGCTTTCTTTGATGCTAGTGGCTTGATACCTTTTCACCAGTCAGATTTTCACAGTTGGGTGTTCTTAAGTTAGTCCTTTGGTAGGTAGTGGGGCAGGATTTCCTGACCTCCAGTGCAAACCTGCTGCATTGCAGTCCTCACACATACAAGAAAACTCAAGTGCTGAGAAGTTAAATAGCAAATGTTAATACTTTGAGATTGCTTGTTCAGAAGAACACCATCTAGGTTACTTGATATTGACTAACTTCAGCTCTTGTGTAGAATATCCATAACAGTTTGTGGGAAGAAAAGACAATTTTCAGAAAGAATAAAGCTATTGTGTAAAGTCTATCAAGAAAAGTTTCTTAATGAAGTATTTGTATTTATTTCAAAACAAATAAATTTGTAACTTTGCAATGTCTGGTGTCTTACTGTTTTGCCAGAAGTGCAGCAATTTTTCTCAGGGAGAATGTTTTTGTCACCCCTTTGTACTATGAACATTTTTTTCTTTTGCTCATTTCTCTGTCCTTCCTTACTTGTGTACTTAGAGGTTTTTTCTCCACTCCAGCTTACTATTTATACAAAGAAAACACAAGACATTTCAGTAGTAGGTGTTAGCAGATATACAAAGTATTACAGGGTAATTTTGCTCTAACAAATACATAACAAAATTGAGCTTTCATACCATGTAGTATTTATTTGCTGTTTTAAATTTTCTTTTTCTATCTAGATACAGCACTGTCTAGTACACAGATCTGTGGTCTGTACACTGACTTCCTGACTGGAGTTGGTGCTATGCTTGTTGCATCCTTTCTGTTCCTGATACAATCTGTATCTGTAAATCTATTGATGTGCAACATGTTTTTAACCAATCTCCAGAGATATTTAGGCCCCTTGAGTGAAATTGTAGATGTTGCTTTGAGTTTCTAAAAACTGTTCTTGGATGTCTTGCTGGAATTCAATTTCAGAAAAGGAGAGAAAAAATAACCCATCACAAGTAATTTTTAAAAAGACTCCCCAGATACAAGGGGAAAGGTATCTAAAGGTGCAGGATTTCAGTCCTTACAGAAGTGCTCTTGTCCTTTTTCACTTTAAGCTTCTATTTATCTCAGTGGTTTCCCATTAAAAGATTGAGGCTTTTTGTAACTTGAGCAGTATCTGCCCTTCATGGGGAAACATTCACCTGTGGGTTTGGAGGCTCCCTTCCATGTGAGGCAGGGGAGCTGAAAGCACTGATGCAGTTTAGCATTGGGGGTGGTTAGGAAATAAGTCTGGTCACCAAAATGGCTCTGCTGTGCTTTCTGCATTGGGACCTCAAAGAGGATGTGGTGTTCTTCCTTTGTGACTGATTGATCATGCTGGGGTGTTCAGGGTCAGCTGGGTTTGTGGCTCTCCTAGAACTATTTCGGGCTTCTCCTTCCTCCTGTATGACAAAAAATCCGGTGATAGGACAAGGCAAAAGCAAATATTTGACGTGTCTGAGCCAAGGCTCTGCTAGATCTGATGATTCAGCAGTCATCATTGGACTGATACCAGCAATGGGCTTGATTTGGTTAACCACAGCCTGTGCCAGTGAGAAAAGGAGAACCTGTGCCAACTCATCTTACAAAAGAAGGGCAAAGTTACGTTCTTTGCTGAGCTTTTTCTGGGAACAGTTAATTGTTCCTTCCACAAGGACACCATGGTGTGCCTGTCAAGCCTCGGCAGTTTATTTGTCTTTAACAGGGAGGAATGCATCCAAACGTTCTTGCAGCACAAAGGGATCTGTGAGCACTTCTCAGCAGTGAGGAGTTGCTAGGACCACTTTAAATGTCAGCTTTGCAACAAAAAAATATTAATTTGGCAAGGAACAGTGTGTACCTATACAGTAAAGCTGGGGGACAGTACGAAGAAGTGCTGTCTTACCTTTTACAAGGAGTTACAACCCCTTTTTCCCTGCAGTACTGATGGCTCCTGGCATCCTTCATTTATGCTGTAACTGAAGAGATTCAAGTGGCTTGCAGACTTATTAGAATTTTTTATAAAATCCCTTCCTAGAGCTGAATTGCAGATTATTCTCAGAGGTACTGTTGTGTCATTAAACCCCAAAAAATGAAGTGAGGTTCAGCCTTCTCTGAGAGGATGAATGACCACCATGGAGCAAGGTGTAGAGGAAGTTCAGATTGGATAAAGGGGTTTCCAGAAAATAAACAGTTCACTATACACAGTGCTTTTGGGGTTATAAAGGGTGGAAGAGCAGAGACTGGGCTCTCAGGGACCAAGAGGTTTCCTGATTTCATTAATGTATCTCAATAGCAAATCCTTGCTGTAGTGGTGCTTTTCAAAATCACTAGTAGAAAGGATGTCACTAGAAATCTGAATTCTTTCCACCTCTGCCTGGGCCTCTGACATCTACTGTACAAAAATCTGGCTAAACTTCAAGATGGCTTTTCCCCTCCCTGTACTTGCAGAGGAGGAGGAAGGGAGGATGTGCCAATATCATGTCATCTCAGCATGACTTTTGTGCTGAAGGATGTTGCTTTCCTCTTTAAAGGTCTCTAGAGACTAAGCAGCTGGAAACTTTAACCTAGATGTGTTTGGGGGGGTTATGATTAATGTCATGTGTTGCAAAAGATGGACTGAGCTGGAAAGAAAACAATTTATAGCAAAGCTGCTTATTTTTTCTCTCCAGTGCTGGAATCCTCTTCCTCTCTGTTTTTGCATCTTGGGCAGTGTCTGTTGTCATCCTCAATGTGCTGGTAACATGGTCTGTTGTTTCTACCAACACAAAATGTTGAGCAGTGTCTCACATGTGCTGCTTGCAATTTGGTCCTCCCCCTTTCCCACATGCTGTCTGCTTTTATTTTTCTACTGTTTTACACTTCCTCATTCACTGGAACCAGTCTCTACTGGTCTGCATATATGAATAGCTGCTTGAATGTGTGGATTTAGTGTTTCCACTAAGCCAAATATAGGTTTTATGCTGATAGCTGCTATGCCTAATGTTTAAATAACTGAGAGAAAGGACGTCAGGGTATTTTAAGCGCTCAACCCTCCCCCCTCAGCCCTTTGTAAAAGACAAAAACAGCCTCTCGCTGTTTCTATCTATTGCTTCATTAAGGCCTCCATTCATTTTATAAACAACACAGCTGCTGACCAGTGTTGGAGACAAAAAAAAAAAAAAAAAGACTTCTTCACTTAGATAACTTGGGGCTGAGTAATCTGGGGGAGGGATACACCTGGACAAGAAAGAAAGTGAATCTGTGCCCTGTCAAATGGGTCTCATGGAGCTCCCTGGGCTGTGGAGAAAAAAAAAAAAAAAAAAGACTTCTGATTGCAACTGCCAAACAGCTCAGTGTCTGTTCCCTGCAACTCAACATGGGGATGGTTTGCTCACCCAGCACCTCCTGGAGCCTGGAGGGGAGTTGTTATTTGGCTGTAATTAAAGAGGCAGCTCCCTACCCCATATGCCTTGTGTATTTTTGGTACTGGTGGCTGTAATGTGTATCAGACACTGGATGTAGACACCACTGGGTATATCCAGAAGAGCCCAAGGGTTGTGAAAGGGGATAGTAGGCATCTCTTCCTTCCCAAGCAGCAGCACCACATTGAGCTGTGACCTGCAGCAGAACTGGAAAAAAATACCCTTGTGTGACCCACCACTCTCTGCAATTGCTTATGGCTGAAGTAGATTATGGTATTTGGGTCAAGGTCAGTGTATGAAGGGGACTCGGGGGGAAGGGCTGTTTGGTGGGCACATGCAATCAGGGAAGATCTAGGAAACCTCAGGCAGAGCCAACATGAGGAATGGCTCTTGGAAAAGAACAGGAGCCACCACCAGTCTGGACTTTGCAGCTCTGGGGTCCATGTGTGTTTGGGCACGTGTGTGTTCACAGGTCCCTGCGAGGCTCAGCACCCTGTATACAGGAAGATGGGAAGGGGAGATGACAGTGCTGAGCTGTGGTTTCACCCCACACAGTGGACCTGGCATCGGGGCATGGCTGTCCTGCCTCTAGGGCTTGGCAAGCTTGGCACCCAGCCCCTCCCACAAGGCTGAGATGCATGCAGACCCCCCTCACCTCAGGCCTGTGTGTGCATCTCGGGCTGGAAAGCAAACCTGATCTGCGGGAAAAATCTACAAGCATTTTTTGCCTAGAATTACTCTGGTAGAATCCTTACTGAGGTTGGTTCTAAGGATATGTAAATGCAGGGATATGAAATAACGATTCTTCAGTCTCACTACATTTCCCCATGTCTTTAATACCCTTGTTTGAACTGTTTCTACGTTCTTGCTGCAAGCAAGAGCTCAAGAGAGCTGAGGAAGCAGCTGTGCTTATGCAGGTTTGCTAGGACACTCCACTTTGCTCAAAGCCTCTACACAGGTTATCCCAAGTCCAGTAAGAGTGCTGGGGTGG